TGAGTATTCCATCAGTTTTTCTGCCATCACAGGCAATGTTTCTATGAGTATTCCATCAGTTTTTCTGCCATCACAGGCAATGTTTCTATGAGTATTCCATCAGTTTTTCTGCCATCACAGACAATGTTTCTATGAGTATTCCATCAGTTTTTCTGCCATCACAGACAATGTTTCTATGAATATTCCATCAGTTTTTCTAGGGTCCAACTCTATGAACTGAATTTCGGGGTTGTAGACATGCGCAGTATCATTTTACTAAAATTATATCAAATGGTCTTTTAAATGACAGCACTGCGGTTGCTTCACATTCTCACCAGCAATTGGTATTGTTAGAACTTTACATACATTTTTTCCCAGTTTGATAGGTATTTGATGTATCTCTGTGATTTGAACTTGCATTTTCTGATAGCTAGTGCATTTTTATATCTTTTTGGATTTTATTTTTTGGAAAGAAGTCTTCAAACCTTTTGCCCAGTTTCTTTTTATTGGGTCGTCCATATTTTTCTTATTAATTTGTAAAAGTTCTTTATATATTTGCAATACTACTCCTTATCTTCTTTGGTGTCTCTCAATAAAATTTTTAAATCATTTTCTTTGTGGAGGTCTTGCACATCTTTTACAACAAACCTCTGTTCTCAGTCTCTGACTTGTTTTATCAAATTCTTTACAAATTTGAACAAAGTCAAATGCTTTCTTTAATATGGTTTTGTTGTCTTGTTTAAGAATTCCTTCCATCAATGAAATTATGAAGAGATTCTTCCATGTTTTTCTAAAATATTAACAGCTTCACCTTTCATAATCTAGATATTCAGAAGAAACCAGAAAACTCGCAGATTATCGAACCAGCTTTCAGGTTTTGTATTGCCTTACTTCTGAAACAGTTTTGCAATTCATTCAAAACTGAACATTTCAGCTCTGAACTTTATGTGACTTAATTTACCTGAAATGTGAAGCAAATCTACATCCTGAATCCTAGTTTTCTTGAGCCAAAGAAGCAATTGCATATATATGACCCAGTTTAGTTTTGAGCAACAGAAAATAAAACTGGTATTTCTCAAACTAAAAAAAAAAAAGATGTGATTTATTATTTTTTAAAATGGCAATTACCCTTGATCATTGATAGTTATTTGCAAATGTATGCCAATCTAGATTATTTAAAGCTGGAACTGTTAATTTAATATAAAATTGCATGAAAATCTATACTAAAATCAATTTCATTATATTTCTCATAGCTGTTCCAAGGTTTTGCTCTTCTACACAGTCATGTGTGAATTTTAAATGGAATGAATGTCTACTGGAGATGCAATCCTAGACTCAAGAAGTTCATAAAGACCATGGGCCGAATTTAGAATACTAGACTATGTTCCTAACGTTTCAGATACCACACTATATTTTCTTGTTTTGTGGAAATAAATATTTTAAAGGCATATTCTAGAGCGAACACAAGGGTGACTCCTTTGGTAAATTAAAGTTATGGTAGCATAACACTTTCTTGCCATTTCTTTATGTTGTCCAAAGAGAACTATAATACTATCATACAGTTTGCAGTTTCCTCCATAATCACCAGGAATTGTAATTATAGACATTCCCAATTTGAAGA